AGAACCAGAACCAGAACTAGAACCAGAACCAGAACTAGAACTAGAACTCCACCACAGGCCCACACTCCGAGCTGAAGGTGATGTTTGTTGACAATCTGGAGAACGACCCTTTACCCACACAGACTGAACAGTGTGCCTTCAGGGCAGCATCCAGTATTTGGAGGCATCATCATCATCATCATCATCATCACCACCATCATCATCATCATCAACTTTTCTTCACACACTCACGCTCCTGGTCGTTTCCAGCCTCTGGACATTTTCACAGCTTTCTTTCCTCACGCACCTTCGTACCTCTGCATACACACACACACTCACACACTCACGCTCGTTGTTGTAACATATCAGCTTCTCACCCTCAGACTGAACCGGCTGCTGGCAGATATGTTTATCATATTGATATTTACACAGTGAGAGTTTGAAGTTTCCCACAGCTGGTGCCCACCACTCACTCAACCTTAAAGAATGCTGTATCCACTCATGGCTCGGCCGCCGCAGATCTATGCACTTCTATCACCTTTAAACACAGCTTTGATGTTCACCTGCTGCGTCTCTGTTAGTCCACCGTCCGTCCAGACTCTCAGACCTCTGGTTCTCATGTTTCCTCATCTGTCGTCACGTGATCAAAGGCGTTCATGAGTCATTTTTTAAAAGTGAGTTTAAACAGAGTCCAATGTTTAAAATGATGGGAATTTTCTTTCACAAACGGATGAGCCTCCGAAAGATCAGAAATCATTTCTGCGATTTAGAAAAAGTCCGAACCACCGTTTCTCTGATTCTATTGACTTCCTCACTGACACCATTAATGCAGTGTTTCTCAAATGCTGAGTCGAGGCCCAAACCTGGGTCACAGAGAAGAATTTGAAGGCTGGCTGAAGTGGATGGTGTTGTTGCAGTTATTGGTTCCATTTTTTTTTTAACTTTGTCTTGATCTTTTAACTGCTGGTCTTTCTGTATGGAGTTCTCATGTTTCCCCTATGTGTGTATGTGTGTGTATGTGGGGGGGGGGGGGGTTTCCCGGGTTCACCCATTTTTAAAAAAACCAGAGGTGTGGGTTTTGTGCTGAGTCGAGGCCCAAACCTGGGTCACAGAGAAGAATTTGAAGGCTGGCTGAAGTGGATGGTGTTGTTGCAGTTATTGGTTCCATTTTTTTTTTAACTTTGTCTTGATCTTTTAACTGCTGGTCTTTCTGTATGGAGTTCTCATGTTTCCCCTATGTGTGTATGTGTGTGTATGTGGGGGGGGGGGTTCTCCAGGTTCTACCACAGTTCAAGAACACGCAGATTTGGGATTTGACTGATAGTTCTCTTTACACTGGTGGGAATATTAGTGTGAATGCAAGTGTGAATGGTTGTTTATTTCTAAATAGCCCCCCCCCCTCCTCCCCCCTCAGTTCTTTTGGTCAAGTTGTGGACAGATAGAGAACCTCTAGCACACATCCTGGTTTCAGTTCAGAACATGGAACTTAAATTTTGGACCTTATTGGAAAACAAAAGTTTTTGTTAAATTGGGTTATTTATTGAAAAAAAAAAAGTCCAGCCTCGGTTCCTGGTGGGACTGATCATTTGAGAACCACTGATTTATGCTGCGTTTATACATTTACATTCTCCTCACTCACTGACCGTGAGTTCTGGTCAAAAACCCCTGCCCATCTCTCCTGGAGACCTGAGTAGTATAAAGCGGTGGGTCGGTGGGTCGACGGTGTGACGCGGTCAGTCGTCCCTCACGCTCTGCTCACGTGTTGGTCCACAGCGTTAGTGACGCAGCTGGTCTTCTACTCATTTCTTCGTTTTTTATAAATCTGACCCAGTGTCACAGTGTGGATAAAAATACTGCATTAGAACAACGTAGGGTTCAAATGTCTATATTTAGAGCATGAACGTATTTACATGAGACTTACAGCAGGTTTGGAGATGAAATGTATCAGCTGAAATGTTATGTTTTTGCAGAGACAGAAAGAAAAAGAAGTTTCTGACACGCTCAGTATTTCGAACGGACCGCTGACCACATGTTGAATCACTCACACTGAGCGCCAACTCATCATCAGTTTAACCTCAATCACCGACTGTAGTCACTCACAGGTCCCCACGGCTCCAGGCCCTTCAGTGCTAACGCCTACAGTTTGACACTGTAACTGTATTTTACATTGTATTTTAAATATTTATTTTATATTTCTATTTATGACATGTGGATAGTATTAATATATTAGTTTCTTATTTAATAATTGTTAAATATACCTATGTCCTAATACGTTGTAACACCAGGTGTCTCCAGACTTCATCACAACACGCGTCAAACGTCAACAGTTCTGTAGAACAGGTTCTGGCAGGTGAGTACATTTACTGTCTTAGAACGTTTTTTGTACCACATTCTTTTAGGTTTTAAAGTAAACGTAGAGAAGCGGAGGTTCTTTCTAACAACAGTGATTCTGGGATGTTGGACGTTTCACCCGTGAATTTTAGACGTGCTCTTCAGCGCTATCACTGGAGGCTGAGGTGGAACGCGGTCCACGAACGTCTCATTAAAAGAAAGCTCCGAACCAACCAAACATCTGTGCCTTCTGCAGTTGAACGTTGTTGTCAACGATCGTCTTCTTCTTCTTCTCTACGTTTGCTTTAAACACGGCTGCAGGAAACGGGAGACAAAGTAAATGTACACACATGCCAAAAACCTTTGCAGTACAGTACTGCAGTTCCAGATGTTTTTGTAGCAGCTGTTTCTGGTGTAGAAAATGTAAACACAGACACAGTGGTACTTGTGGTTCATGTTCAGTGTGCTGCTCTCTTCATGTTGTGACTGACGTTACCGTGTACTTTCACATTATTTATGTAACACTGCATCGCCAGTACATGAGAAAGTACTGTGGCTCTGAATTTATTTGTCATGTACTCTGTACACTCTGTGGGGTCTCTTCTCTTCTCTGTAAATATGTCATTGTTGACCCCCCCTCCCCCGGCCCCGCCCACTCTCTCTGTTCTGTCCCAGAGATGCTTTATTTAAATGAAGGCAGTGATTCACATATTTGCATTGATGCGACAGGTGCGTCTCCAGGACACGTGCACCTGTGTGATGTAGCTTTGACTGACGTTTGCACTCGACACCCGTGTCATCCTCCACCCTTTGAGTTGCTGAGACATTGCATTATTATTATTATACAGCACTGACTGTGACCCGTGAGTCACCTGCTTAATAAAGGTCTGAATTCTTTATCGCGAAGGAGGAACAAAGTGAGGTTCTCCACCATGTACTGTACATATACGTCCCGCACTGGTCCCTTTGTAGCATCTGTGACACAAAAGGCCTACGAAGACATGCATCTGCTGATGAACTGCAACAACAGAGTTGTTCCTCCTTTACACTCTTCCTGTCTGGGACTGTGTCTCATGTTTCTTTACACCAAACTGTTGCATAGCTGTGTCTCATGTCAGGGTTGACCTCAGAGGAATAAAGCTTGAGCCTGCTCCTCCTCCACTCACTGGACTGTCATCACTCACAACATTTATATACTGTGGTTCTTCATGGCTGTGACCGACCGGCTGACTGTTTAGCACCGACTCATGGGGCGTTCACACCAAACGCGACAAACGCAAATTCAGCGAGTGAACACAGGTAGCATAAAAAGAGGTAAAGGGATGTTGTTATTCCCATGGTGTCCACTAGTTGTCTAAACGATCTAGGACAAATCCCTCATCGGAAAACCTTGTGGTTAAAGTTTTCAAACCTGAAACCCTGGTAAAAACCTTTTAAAATTTCTACCAGGAAACTGACCAACATTGACCGTTTCATCGGTTAGTTTGTGAATTTCTCACACTTGGTTTCAAATTTCCAATTGATTTGGTTTAAATTCACCAACTCTACGTCCAGTTCACGACTCCTTCATTTATAATTCATTGTCTGTGGGCGGAGCCGACTTCACAGTCACCAACGACTTTGTTTAGACCTTTAATTTTAAATCTAAAAATTCAGTCATTTATTTAGAATCTACCGTGGCAGTAATGTTTTACAGAAGTACAAGTACACAGGTACAATGAGAAGAGCTGTTACACCCTCTGATTGGTTGGCAGCCAGAGTGGGGGTCACACAGTAACTACAGTCTAGAAGTTTCGCAGTAAATCACGGTAGATTCTTTTACATGAGCAACACACAGATGAATAAAACACACTCGTGCTCTAAATCTGAGACAGCGAGGAGGGGACGACCACTTAAGTGGTGACATGTTTTATTAAAGAGACCCTCATCCATTTACCCCGTCTTTTACCCTCCCCCCAGGATTAGTAAATATTAATGCCTCCTCCTTTCTTTGGTGATCGTTGACTCTGTCTCGTACATCAGTAGAAAGCCATTAGCCAAACTGGAGGAAATCAGGTTTCAACCAACACACACACACACACACACAGACTGTATTTGCAGTCAGCGAGTCAAATGTTAACAGAGACTAATTAAAGTGTCTGTCGTCCTCCTGTGATTCGGTGACTTTTGTCATGAAGTGATGTCATTGGTCAGCCCCACACCCTGGTTTTACTGCTGCATCAACACTTTGTTGCCTGATGAGAGTTAACTGGTGTTTTAACGTTTAACGGTTTGTCTCAGGATTTATTCTCCATAAATGTTCAGACCCTTTTATCTTTGTTGAACTTGTAGGTTCAAGGACTTTGACGGGATGAGAGAAAATAAATGCATTAGAGCAGAGAAATGATGAGATAGAGATACAGAGAGAGAGAGAGAGCCATATTAGTTAAACTAGGACATTGAAGTAGCTTTCATGAACGTGCCTTAAATTTGGTTCAGTTAGTTGGAGACTATGGAGTCCTGGAGTTTTGGGAAGTCTAAATAAGAAAGGTGCTCTAAAGAACCTGGACTGGAATGGAAAAAAATAATTTAATGATGTGAATCTGGAGGAAAACAATGGCAGACGCCAAAGAATTTGTTTAAAAGAACTTTAATGAGTATGAATAAACACTTCTAAAACTAATAGTTTCAAATCCTTTGATTATTGACAGTAAAAACCAGAACCAGAAATTAAACCTGCCTCTTTGATTGGTTAATTTAAGCTTCAGTTTAGTCCTAGTGTAACTCTAGTTTAATTCACTAAATGTAATCCACTGTGTTGTTATCAGGGTTCTGTCCTCTGTTGATCAGCTCCATCACCTCCACCTGTGGGTCACCAATCAGCAGCTCACAGCTTTTATGCTGGTGGGGCTCAGTGTTTTGTTTTTTGATATGTCTCATATCCTCGTCTCTGTTGGCTAGACGTGTCCATCGGTGCCAGTCCACACAGCAGGTCATTCACCTGTGTTTTCCTGGTTCACTCCGTTGGCCAGCCTGCTCATTCATTTAATTTAGAAGTCCACTTTGTCTCTCTCCGTCTTTGTCCAAGCAGGGACTTCAGTCAGAGTTTGGAGCTCCTTCCTGCTATGACTGCATCAATCTGTCCCCCGGTCATCAATCTGTGTTACTGCTCACATGTAGTTCATTAGCCACTGGGGGAGGACGACTAATGAACAGCACAGTGCAGCACAGCATCCCATAAATGACCGGTTGTCAATGGAGGCAGTTATTTAAAGGATTTAAAAAGCACTAAAAACACAGATGCACCACAGACTCAATCTGTCAGGGCTGAATTATTCATGTCATTTAGGACAGAGCTGGAGGTGGAGACATGGACAGACACTGAGACACAGGAAACCATGTAGTGTACTGTACTGTACTGTAGTTTCTTTAGTTTATAGATGAATAATAACCTTTCAGCATCCTAACAGACAGGGGCAGAGCTCCGACCTGCTGTCTGTGTCCTCTGATCTGTGTCCTCTGATCTGTGTCCTCTGATGGTTTATGTAGAACCACAGGAGGTTCTTCACTGTTTATATCAGTGTATTTCTGATGGTAACTAACCCTTCCTCCTTTCATCCTTTTCACCTCAGCTGTGTTGACTGAACCACTTCATCTTTCTGTCACCCTGAGCATTTGTCCACTGAACCTCTCAGACTGTGCTCTGACCCTGATCACACTCGGTGCATCATGGGATATGACACATTTTTCTTTTTGGCTCTGCAGGCTGTGAGCCCAGTCAGATACTTCGCTCCGTCCTGGTTCTGAGCGACAGCAGCTCGCGGTGATGATGATGTCGTGTTGATCAGAGGGCTGACTACTGTCGTTGTCAGGGTCACTCTCGGCCGTGCTGCTTTAACCCCATATAAACAACAGTCGCATTGTGAATGTGTCGGAGACCCTTGGGCTGCTCTTCTTCCCCTCCATAATGGCAACACAGCGTGGGGCCGACCCCCCCACCTCACCCCTCACCTCACCCCTCACCTCTGCCTCCTACCTTGTCAGCGCTGCATGACTCGCAGCGCCTCGCTGAGCAGACGTCCAGCCCAGACATTAGTCCCACCTGGGAATTTGACTGTGTTCAGTCTGTGGGGCCGAGAGAGGGTGGGAGTGCCGGAGGGGAAGGGGGGCTGTGGGGGGTAAAACAAGCTCATCTTTTATTAATGGGGAGGAGACTTGATGTGATCCTTATTAATCATTCACACAGAACCTTCATTAGAAATGCCGTCACTTTGGTTTCGGTCCGATGCTGCTGTCAGGACCGTCAACGTCGACGTCCACTGGGCTGTGAACGTGGTGAGCTGCACTTCTTTAATCAGACCAAGAAACAGTGAAGTTAACTGTTCAACCAACAACCAAATGCAACACTAACATCACCAAGGTCACCTCAGCCCGTCAGCTCTTTCAGTCAACTGTATGTTCACTGTAACTCTGACGCTCCCACCACGACCACGGCTGTGAATTACAAAGCTTTCACTCAGTGGACGGAGTCCAAACAGATGCTCGGATCTTTCTCTTTTAATTAAAAACAAAAGCCTGATTATGGCGTCCTCTCCCTGGGGAGGTGTCCTCTGTATGGGGTCAAAGGTTAATACGTTCAGTGGACAGTCTGCAGGGTCCGTCTTTCAGATCAACCTGACCTCAGACTAAAGTAGATATCAGTTCACCTCTTTGTTTCCTAATAACTCCATCGACTTTGTGATGCCTTCACATCACTCCATTGTTGACTAACTCTTCATAGTGACGTTTCATTCAAACATCATACAGTAGCATCAGGGTCAGAGCATCAAACATTAGGTCAGGGTTCTTGTCTGACACGTCTGAGTGTCTGGACTTGGTCCAGAACCACTATGTGCCCAGAACCTGACCCTCCTTTGTTCAACAGTGGTTATATCTTGAAGATGAGCAGATAAAGGACTCTATCTGTGTGTGTGTGTGTGTGTGTGTGTGTTCACCATAATCAATGACTCTGACCAGCTCTATCTCTCTGTTTCCAGATAATGGGTTTTAATGGGACTCCTTTGAGACTCGTCTGATGTGAAGTGATACCAGGTTGGTGTGTGTGTGTGTGTGTGTGTCTGTGTGTGTGGGCTTGTTCTTGGAAGGTGGTGGTGTTCAGGGGGTCTCTCCGGTGAGTTCAGGGTCCTGACAGAAACCCAGTCCTGATTTAATCCCTGTACTCGGCTGACATGACCCCAGACTGCAGTATTAATCAGAGTAAAGTTACTCCTCACATGACACTGGCCTCCGTCTCTGCTGGAAATCAATACACAGTCAGTGACTATTGATCAGCACCAATACCACAGAAGTCAACTGGACTTTGATGGAATGACTGGGTCACACCTACACATGAATGGATGAAAGAGAAAACTCTGAAGTTAAACTTGACGTTAACGTCTGCAGGAAACAAACGTTTACTTCTAAACTACTACAGGAACAGTTTGATTTGCAAACATCTTTAACCAATCAAATGTTTTTTAAGGCCATTCACTCACACCAATGTTGTGTACTGCATTTAAGTAATACTTCAGACTTGAAGTACGGGGTTGATAAAAACTTCAGAACTGCTCAGTAGTAACAAATACCATTGGTGTAGGAGGAGATGTAAATATATAAGAACTGCTCAGTAGTAACGAATACCATTGGTGTAGGAGGAGATGTAAAGCGAGTATTTGGAACAGTTCTGTTTTTCTGTTCATGTGAGAGCTGCAGCAGTTTAAGCCCCACCTCAAATGACCTCATTGGTTGAGAGGCATTTCCACCAGAATATTTTATTATTATTGTCTCTCTGGCCCAGAAACAAATGACCTCGAGCTGGTGGGCAGCCAGTGCTGACCCCCCCCCCCATTACTCTAACAATCCTCTGTCTTATGGTTGAAGTCTAAGATTTGACTCTTAAGAAAACTGTCATTTCTCTCTCCACTCTGATTTCCAAACATCAAAGCCACTTAACCTGATTGTAAAAGCAGTGCCAAACAGTACTTTGGAGAATGAAAGGCACAAACTGTGAGCCAAAGTGGATGGAACTGTTGTCTGAGAGAATTAAATTCTGGGAGGGCAGAATATCTCCATAGTCTGATGAGTGGAAAACAAGGTTTGGAAACCATCTGGTAAATGAAAGGATCGCGTGCGTGTGTGTGTGTGTGTGTGTGTGTGTGTGTGTACTTCAGGGTTTCTCTTCAATGACAGTGTCGTCAGTAAGGCACAGATGATCTGTTTCCTTGTTCCTCTGGACTTTTTACTTATGTCTGAAATTTCTTTGCTATTTTATGCAAAAAACAAAAACAAACAACAAATGAGTCATTATCCGATATATTACATTATTACAATCACACATCAGATACATGTAGATAACAGAGAATCAACAGCAGTCTGACAGCAGCTCAGAATTTGTCTCTGTTCATCATGGTAATACATGTCTATGTCAAAGGTCAAATCAAATCATTTCTATTTCCTGTCATGAGGCGTCGTTGCAGGTTCATTACTTTCATTTTTCCTAATAATTACAACAGTGTAGAGTTTGTGAACCACTGGAGGTCTGTAGACTGGAGCAGTCCTCCAGCTCTGACGGTCCATCAGTAACGCTGACCGTGGTCTGAAGGAAAACCTCTCAGGTTTCCCAGCAGGCTTTTAGCCATCATCAAAGTCAGATGTATTGATCCCATCACTTTGAGCAACAGATGGACGAAGCCTCAGGAGAGAACTGCCAACCCGGGCTGCCATTCACCACACGGGGGGGTTCATGTACAGTAAGACATGAAGATACAGGTGTGAGACGACAGATGAGGGGGACACAGTTGGACCAATATTATTATACATATTGAATTAATTATATGTTTAATGATATATATTATTATACAATAATGATTGTATAATAATAACAATTTATTATACAGTGATTCAGAGCATCAGAACCATTGCCTGTCTGTTTGGCACTGATGGAAGACTCATCCTTCACCTCAGGAACATAACAATCTCTGCATCTTCTGATCCACCACGGAGTGAAAAATCAAATCTCTTTACAGTAATTAGGTTTGTCCAGTGTGGAGGAGAAATGGTTTAAAATCACTGAAGAAAATCAGGACGGATGACTCCAACCTGTTAGTGTGACGTATGTCACGGTGTTGTAGAAGAAGAAGAAGTCAGATTGAATCTGTCTTTGGTGTCACATGACATTAAAAAACACTCAGAGATCAATGACATCATGACCAGTTGATACATTTGTCACTGTGCGATTTCATTAGGTGACAGAGTGAATTCATTTGTTCCCGATGCACATCACTCTTTGTAAACCTCATTTGGTAAGTGTGACACACACACACACACACACACACTCCACCTCCTCATGCATATGCCATGTTCCATGACACTTGACAGTTGGTGGATGATTTGTGGACACTGTCAGCTGATGTGTGTGTAATGTCAAGCCCAAATGAAAATGAATATTGCAGTCGGGGTGGGGGGGGCACAGAGGGCAGACAGTGGAGTGGCAGGGTAAAATATGGTGGTAAATCCATGGAGAAGCAGCGGGGAGGGCGCTTCGTCTGGTCTAATTAATGTACAGTAAGAACAATAACCATGTATTTAAGTGACAAGACCTGATGGTTTTTAATCAGTTATATGTGTTTTAATAAGGCAATACACCAGGTTAATTAAGGACTAATTAATGAACAACCCCCCCCCCCATGAAAAAAAAAAAATCACAGTTACAGACGCC